CATTGTTGTCTGTGTTGCTACCTGGGAACTTTACCCTCACTTCCTAGCCTAGTGACACTTGAAACTGAAGGGAATCTCACTACCAAGGACGCTGGACAGTGGCTCTAACCCTTTTTCATTGTAGGAAAAATTTGTTTGTATTAATGTTTTTCTCACTGACTACTCCCTGGTGGCACCAGTAAAAAGGATAGACAACAAGGGTGTATTTTTCCAACTGGAAGAAAGACCACAATATACTGATATCCGTTCCAACCCTACTTACTCTATCACAACTAAAAAAGAAAGATGTGGGCTAGCTTACGCTTTAGGCCATTAATGGATATCCACCTGTAGGTATGCCGGTAGTATTTTCCATATACATGTGCAAGTCATCCCTTTGTGGCTATAGAGTTGCTTTTAAGAAATCCTCTCATCCTTAATATTTTTTAATTTTCCAATTTTTAAATTTCCATCTCAGTTGTATAGGGGCTGTATCAGGTGTCAGGCAACAGAAACAGCCAATTACAGAAAAGTTAATCTGCCCTTTGCCTGATTTAGTCATTTTTGGTTGTCTGTGGGTCCGCACCCCAATGTCAATATCAGCATATACATAAACTTGCAAGTTTATGGAATGCTCTACTGCACTCACTACATTTGCTGACCTAAGGGTGGTTTTATCATGTATGCAAGTCTGTCTGCCCCTTAAAAGGAGAACTATGGGGTTAAGGCTTTTTCCCATAGTTCTCCTTAGGGTAATGGGAGGACACAAACTAGCGTCCTCTCATCACCCTAGGCTCAGTATACCGCAAGCTGTAGCTCGCGGTATACTGAGACACCGCAGCTGAAGAGCCTGCTGTACCCGCCCCCTCCCCGGTCTGTTCCGCCAGTCAGCGCTGGCGGATCGGAGCGGGGAGGGGGGAATCCAGCCCCTCCCCTGTCACAGCAGAGAGCCGTGACAGGATCGAGAGGTGAGCGAACGCCGCCACGTGTTCGCTCACCTCCCGATCTACTGAGCCGACCTGTGACAGTCTCATTGTCACAGGTCGGCTAGAACTATGAGGTGAGTGAAAAGCACTCACCTCATAGTTCTCCTTTAATGTCTATTGGCAGTCTAAGGGTACCTATATTGCATTAGGAGAGTTGTGAAAAATCCTGTAAACTTACCAGTTTTACAAAAGATAAATTACTAAAAAAATGACTAAAGTAATCAACAAAGATTTTGTAAACGTATAAAACAGAAAATTAGCACAACATAACAATATTGCTGAAATATTTACAATATAATTATTAACCACTAATATTATGGAAGCTGTATAATACTGTATGTGTATTAGGCAAATCATTTATGATCGTTTCCTCCATTTTGAAATGTCCTTTGGGAGAGCACATTCAGGCTCATTTAAAGTTCAAAGAGCAGTAAAAATGTAAAACTTAATGTTACCTATATCCTCCAATCAGGATTTATCTTTTATTAGTGAAGAGACGTCAGAATGATGATGGGTATGGTTTTTTCTGTTATTTTGTTTCTTCCTTTCTAGAATACAACTTGCCATTTCTGAAATAATTCATTCTATCATGTGATTGTACGCAGCAGCCTGTTCTTCCCTATAGGAGGACGCGGCCGTACGCCTCTGTACGCTTACCCAAGCTGCACATCTGTGCGGGTGCAGGTGTCCGTGCTCGGACGCAGATAGGATCCATCTATCGAGTAGGGACATAAGCACCTGCACAGATGTGCAGTTCGGGTGAGTGTACAGCAGTGTACGGCCCGTCCTCCCATAGGGAAGAACAGACTGCTGTGTGCAATCACACACAGCACATGTCCTTCCCAGGACAGGTCCGATACGTCCATGCACGCTGCACAGATCTGTACGGGCCGACTCTAAGCTGTGTGAATGAGGCCTTACTCCTATTCCACAGTAAACAGTCATATCCAATGCTTTGTAACTTAAATTTCACAAACTAAAATGCAGTGCATTCTCCATCAACAAGTTACTTTTTAGTTACATAAACATTATTAAAAAATAGGCATTGGGGATTGATTTTTTTTTTTTTTATATTTAAGAATAGTTTTATTTTTTATCTTGCAGTACAAACCATTGGCATGAATGGCATTTACATGAGAAAACTAGTAAATTAATTTGGTTTACAAAACTCAAGAAATCCACAACAAAGACTAAATATAACTGTCAAAAAAATGTACTGTATTTGACTGAAGTTTTTCTCCCAGGGATTTTCAACAGAGACCAAAAACCAGTTGCATAGCATGACAGACTGAATGGGCTGATGTGATTGCTGTTGATTGCCTATTGTGACTTATTACAACCACAATGTTGGGTATGGGCTAATTTAATTGCATAATGGCGAAAACTGAATTAAAGCTCATTGGCATTTAATGCAAATACAGTATTATCAGATCATATAAATTTGCACTGACACAACACATTTAGATATTTAATATGGGGGGGGGGAGGATTAAGCCATGAATATTTTGAGTTGCTCAAAATAATACATTTAAGTACATGTGGCTTAAACATGAAGATAGGATACCATCTTCCACCTAAATATATTACATAACTTTCTTATCTTCTCATAGATAACAATCTGTGTTTGGGAACCCTGGCATGAAGCAAAAAAAGTGCCATTTGTTCACAAAATAGGTGCTATTTAATAGGTGCTATTACAATCAATACCCACAAGAAATCTATTTCCACTAACGAACTCATTAGCGGTCTCTTTCAAGAAACTCTAGATAGTTAAAGCCTTGTGCCATCCAAAGCAGAAATGTATTTAGGTAGCATAGAAAGGTTCATTAGCATGTGAAAATCATACTTCCCTTTACAGAAACTCACACATCCATTTATCTATCAAAAAATGCTGACTGACTTCTATATCTGCTTAACTAGACCAATTTTGTATTGAAAATAAGCCAGAGGTAGAGTAGGCAATGGGTCTGTAAAGCCATGTATTAAATGATAGTTAGCCAGTAGCCTAAAACTGTAGCTTTCATGGAGATAAACAAGACCCCCAGTAACCTTTAGAAAATAAGGTCATTGCTGAGTAGATTATAACCCAGTACTTCCAAATCCTGCAATACAGATGTCACAGGAGCTGTAACTGCTACTAGGTCCAAGGGTCTAGTAGTTGGCCATAACTTTTGAAGGTATTCAGCAACTTCTGCTGGTTCAGCATGGGTTTGAGACCAATGATGATTACTTCAACATACTTTAAACTGTTTAGAGCTCAGTTGTGATAACATCCTGGTTTCGGCATCTGGACACAATGCACGTTAGCTAAACTATTGAGAACCTTTTTTCCTATTATTATTAAAATGCAAATCAGACCATATGAAATGATGAGCTTGATGGACCTATGTCCAAATGATTCTTAATAGATAACAGACCTGCAGCAGAAACGTACAGGCATACTAAGAAGCACAGCAAATTAGGACAGCAAACTTCATTTTCACTACACATCAACTCAGTCATCAGTATCCACGTGGAAGCCCTTGCTTTAAAGTTACACCAAAACCCATGCTGTGAATCATTCTCCAAAGTTATCAAATCAGTGTGACATAATTAGGTTGATTTAATAAAGGTGAATAGGCTGTTTACTTTGAAAGGGAATTTCCCCCTAGCTTAGTAAATATAGTGAAGCCCTGTTGTATGTCATCATCTAATCATGTTCAAGTAAAAATACTGTTTCTTAAATTTTCCTTGCATATGTTTGGGAATTGTTTGCCAGGGGAATTTTCACCACATTTACCAAGTTAAGGGAACATTCCCTTGCAAAGTTAAAATTACCTTGCAAAGTAAACAGTCTATGTGTCTTAAACACATCAACCCCAATATCTCTATGTTTAGGGTAACACATATTTATGTTTGACAAGAAAAAAAAAAATCAACAATCTGTATGTAAAAAGTCAATGTCTACTGTTCTTTGATATGTTTTAAAAGGCTGGTGATTATGATTTATATTGATTATATTTGTATTAAATTCCAACTAGCTCTTTACAGACCTAAGCCTATCACTGAAAAAAAGACAAATGTAGCAATTTGTTTAGCCAGTATGGTTATAATTGGTATAATACCAAAAGGATTTTTCGTATGTGTCTAATGGGACAAATAGGTCATATAATAAAGGCACATGGCTCTGCTTCTATTTATCTGGCACCTTCCAGACATGGTGTATGTTGCTGTTATAAAATAGAATTTTATTTGACATATTTAATGAATATAAACTCTCTAAATCTCTACTGTAAAACATGTATCTGTGACACAATATATACACTTCATTGTTTTGGTTCTGTAGTCTGTATATATGGGGAACTGTTGTGCATATATTATTTGTTGATATGCCAGCCTTCTATTAAAAAAATATATGTCTGGCGAAAAATAACCTGGCATAGCATAGAACCCTGAATTGTCAATATGAATACACTTACTAAGGTTCAATGAGAACACACTGATTAACTGGAGGAATATGTGGCACTTAAGCAATGTAGATTGAACTAGATAATTGGCTGTGATGTCACTGCTTCATTACTAGCCACTGTTAAAGAATGGATAATGAAGGAGGTAGAACAGAATGAAATATGGATATATATCACGTTTCAGGAGTTCATATACCATTAAATTATGATCCTTGAGAGTACAACAGTGTGACGTTACCAATATAGAGAATGACGTGTTATTGTCATGTGAGTTGAGGCACAGGACAATGACACCTACCAAAGTAATATATGAAGAATTACAGGGATTATCAAAATGGTGAAACAATAATGGAATCCCAAGAGGTTTACTTCCAAATACCTGAGAAGGGAATGTGCAGAATCGAGAAGCTAGTTCTGTACAGTTGTCCTAATAACACCAACTATATAACACAAGAGTGAGCAACGTACTATCATACTTAAACGTCCAGTCAGCTTAGCTCATTTCTTTCGGATAAAAAAAAAAAGCATATTGGAAAAGGGAAGCTAGAGTAAAAAAATACATTCTTTTCAGGATTATCCTTTTCTGTTCTTAAGTATAAAGGTATGATTGTTTGAAATTGAATTTTACCAGGCTTAAAATCTCTGACTACAAACCAATCTGAAAACATGCTACCAAACCAATTTCTCCCCACGCCTGGTCGCATCTGGTGCCAGATAAGGGGCTTTATTGTTTGGTTTTTAAAAAAATAAATTAAAAAAATATCATCTAGTGATGAAACCAAATATTTGCCTTGTTGTAAGAGGAACATTTGCAGCAGTGAGTGATTATTACTGCCCATACTGCACCATTGAATGATCATGAAGGGTAACGGTTGGTAGGGATTTTAGCCGCAGGCACAATATCTGAGAATACCTTTTCTGTGTAGGATCCGTAGTGCTGGTGAATGCAAGTTAATATATATTTTTTCATTTTTTTTCTTTTTTTTTATACAATAACCACTTTAAAACTTGAAGGACCATTTGATGGCCACATCAGCACAAAAGAGGTTAAACTTCCACGGATAAACTTCACATCAAAAGGACAGAATAACAAAAACACGATAGTCACGAGTACCCGCATCAGAGGAACATTTTCATCCATGTCTATTCAGAACGGACGAGAACAAAAAAAAGTGACGGAGGCAATGGAATGGAAGGGGAGACCCCAGTAGTGCCGAGAATCCTGAAGCATAGTCTCTTCTAATCCTCAAACACTTCCAAGAAGAGTGGGGGGAACAGTTCAGTGGGGCACTCCACTTTCATGTGCAAGAACCTGCTAGCATGGCAGGCTCCAATCATACGGAGGTCGGTGACTTTCATCAGCAGTTTTGGCCAAAAGTGTGCAACGTTGTGTTTCCTGTAATTAATGTAGTGTTCAAAAGCCAAGAGGAAACCTTCTTGGCACTTCTCTATTCTTTCCACACTGGAGAGACCAGGACGATCTGGTGATAAAAGAGAGAGCAGGTTTGTAAAAACAGCTATTTGTTTTGTTGCTTAACACAGTGCTTCTAAATTTCTCACCGATATCCTACCTGGTATACCAATAGAGCAGGTTACAAGGGCACCTGGTAAACCATGTCTTCTTAAAAGGCAAAGCTATTGGATCACAGTATAAACAAGTCACGCACTATCATTTCAATGCAGATGATTCTTTCAGTACAAAGGCCAGGGCAACACAGTTTTCAGTATGTTGTTAGCATATCCTTGGCTACATTACTTCCTGTAATGTTCACAATGGAAAATACAACATTTCTGCCACTCGGGCACCCCCTTTTCTCAGGCTCCATCCAGGTGTAGGATTAGACTTGCCATGCCTTTAGCTGACATACCAAATAATTTATTATCTGCACTTTAGTAATGATGATCGTTGGAATGTTTGTACATAAAAATCAGTAACTGTTGTCACTAAGCATCCAGTGTTAGAGACCTTGATGTGTTTTGTACATAATTGTGATTAGATTTGTCCTAAGACAGCCAAATAACCAAACACCATTCTAGGGTGACCAAAATGTTCCTTCCTTTGCTTCTATCTCTATTATATGACATGCTTACAGCTCAACTTGAGCCAAAAATGTTTTTTTTCCTATCTTTACATTGTGGCCATAAACAGCTGCTGTTTATTTTTGGCACATAAGGGAATCATTTTAACCCATTCTCATCCTACTTCAGATTTAGTAAACTTTATTCTATTTATTTAAAAGACTTGTATAAGCTAAGTTAAAGCCCAATTGAAGTCTCACTTTAGTTCTGTACCCCTGCATATTATGTTTTAGAACTGCTTTTACTATGAAATGCTTTAAAATATTTTCTACCATTGAAAATGCAGCTTCCTTCTCTTTTCTCCAGTGGTCTGTGCTGGCATAGCTAAGTAGCTCCCACATTCATCAGCACACGTATCCTCACATAGACTTGTATTGCAAAATAGGGGAGGTATCAGACATGGCCTGTCACTAAGTGCAGTACGTCTACATCTGGTGCCTGCTTGACCACAGAGTCATATACAGACATCCTGCACAACTGTTGTAATGGCAAAGTGGAGGTAAGACTATGAGGTTGTTAGTACAATATATAGCAGATTGCATGTATATTTCTGTGACTTCGATCGGGCTTTAAAGACCTAAGATGTATAATAGTAATAGCTTGTAACTGAAAGTGCCTAAAAGAACAATTACCTTGTAAGGGATTGCATTAAAAATCCCTGGGATCACTGTGGCATAGTCCACGTGTCTATAATTAGCAATAAAAGAGTTAACTTTATAGAACAGCAATACATTTGATATCAGTGCACACACCTGATGACATAAGTAGCACAGCCTGCAACAAGGCGACTTCGGTATCATCAAGGTTAAATGAAGACAGCGATACGCCCAAATCGAATATGGCATCAGATACCACTCCTAGTCCTCCATTTTTTAGCTGTCCCCTTGTCACTGCCATTTCCCCATTCAGTGTTAAGGTCTCACTTTCAGGGTCATAGCGCACTGCAGCTCGGAGGGACATGATCTCCATGCAACAGCCTTTGAGAAGGATGATCTGATCTTCACATGGCAGCTAGAAATAAGCACACAGTTACTAGTACTCAGTATAGCTTTCTATAAATTGCTGACTGAAACAATGCTCTGCCTAAGTTTAAATCCACTTTTCTACACATTTGGGCAGATTTAATATTGATAAGCAATTCTGTAAATAGAATTAATACCTGTTTAAGCCCTAGATGTGCAAGGTGTAATATTCATGGGGTTGAATAAAGTGAAGCTTTGTTCACTATAATGTTTCAGTCATGTGCAAGGAAAAAGCATGTTTTATTAACTTCCCCTGCGCGTGATTGTGTATTTAAAGTGAATACAGCATTACTTTATTCACCAAGCTAAGTGAATATTCACAGTACTAGGTAAACATTTAAGTAAGCACTCTTTACAACTTTAATATATAAAATGTTCTGATTGTGATCTACAGTTCCCCACAATGGATTGGTCGCATACAGAAACTTCCAGTTTTTATAAGGATCAACTCTATCCAGACCCTTCAGACATGCTGCATATACAGATGACAGAGGCACAAAACAATCTGAAAGGTTTGAAGAACTGTTGTTCCACTCTCCCTTGAGTGTCCATTGAGATCACATGACAAACAATGGCACTGGGTCACCTGATCAGCACCAGAGAAAAATGTATGGGCCTGTTGTTGTTTTTTTTATCTCCATATATTTCTTATGGCAGCAAGGTCAGGTTAGATGGGGATCCTTAAAGGGAAATTATAATGTTTTGTATACACCTTATTAGATTTATAAAAATATACTTGTTTATGTTTAGAAATAAAAATAAACATTTTAAATGTTTTTGCTTTCTAAATCAAGTATTGATTAATATTTCCAAAAAATTTCCAAAAATGTCTACAATTCACAGGACATGTGTAATCCCTAGGCTGGTAATAATAAAATAAATCAATAAAAGAAATAAGGAATGTGGTGTAAATAATATAGTATTAGACACCAAGAGTGGGTAGTTTTATTTAGAACATACTTATTTTTAGTAATAATGCTAAAAAGAATTAAATAATAAAAATAATGACCAGAAAAGAAATGCATAGAGACAGCCATAAACACTAAAGAGTGATGAGTGTAGTGTCTCATTACTTTGGTGGTCACTGGAGAAATAACTCCATAAATTGGTGATCAGTGTAGTGTCTCCTTACTTTGGTGGTCAGAGGAGTGCCTCTTTACAATGGCGATCACTGGAGAAATAGATAGGCTGGTATGTTGCGCTTGGTGTTGATAGATCTACTTGGTTTTGAATTTCCTCGTGCATATCATTAAACCGTGTTTGCAGTACGTTTTTTGCACTGGAGAAATAACTCCATAAATTGGTGATCAGTGTAGTGCTCTCTTTACATTGATCATCATTGTAAGAAAAGCACATTTACACTGGTGGTTAGTGGAAAGAATGTTCCCTACAAAAAGTTGAAAGAAATAAGTGTCTGATGTTGCACTAGTCCCAGAGTGCTGGTTCTATTAAGTGTCATAACTATGTAGGCACGGTCAGCCAGGAGATCCATATTCCAGTGCTCACTGCCCAAGGAACCCCTAACAACCTCTGGAGAAACGTTAGGATTTCACAGAACCCAGACTGAGAAAAGCTAGGCTAGATCATGGATGTATTTGTAGTAGAGATATAGTATAAAGGCAATACAAATACATGTTCTATATTCTAATGGGGCAATACATGTTGTAGGGTCACACTGTCAGGGCTTACCAGAAGACCCTCTGGTAGCTTCCACATCTCGGCCGACAATGCTTTAAAGACAGGGGGCTCAGCAAAATGGTTTTCACTTAAAATGGTGGGGTTTGTTATAACTCAATTTTGTTTTTTTCACAACCAGAATAGCAGCCTTGAAGAATTCAGCAGAACATTATTAATTAAGCATTTGCATAATTTCATGTGTGTTTTATATAATTGTATATGATCATTTACAATAAATGTATTTTATTTCTACTGAAATTTGGGTGTGATACTACGGAATGGCTGCACTTTACTTACCTCGCAAAACATGGGTAATTTTTTGGCAAAATCAACCACTCTTGTAATTGCTGGGGTGATTATTTTTGTAAACTGACTGAAGGCTTCTAAATCCACTTTTCCACCCTCCGGTGCATTAACTATAGGAGCCTGCCCGATATCTTCTGGCTGGGGTCAAGCAAAACACAATATATACATCACATATGTAAATGTTGTCATATATCAACACAAGCCTAAATCCAGGCAGATCTCAAAAACACGATTTAATCCAATGTATGTCTATTAAAAATCTGTAAAGTGAATGCTAACAATAAACTTGTTTGCTTTCTCCTGGTCTGTTACATACCAATCTGGTCTGTTTTTTTATGAAAAACAATGAGCAATGAAAGCATGTTGCTAAATCCGTTCCATAACTGCAAACTACTCATTGATGCTGCCAGAAATCCTTTAAGCTTGTAAGTTCCTGTTCACTCTCAAGTAGCCTTATCAGCACTGAACAGGATACATCTGAACTGCAGAGCACCTTTCCCCCTATATGATTGAGGAAAGAGGAAGGTATTTTGTAGTCCTGACACACTTCATCTCCTGGAGTGAGAATGCTGCTTCTCCACAGTTACAGTACAGTGAGTGAGTGTCATCACTCTAGGATAAGAAGTGTATTACAAGCACACTTTTGTTATTAGGTTTAGATACACTTTAAGGGACCCATGTCATTCCTCTTGCTATCCCATTTAACAGTACCAGTGTATAGAGACAGTTGTAAGCTCTTTATTGCTTTCAGTCGTGTCACAGTTCTCTAGCAACCCCTAGGTAGCAGCTGTGAAAAATTCTGTTTTCTGACTTTTACTGTAGCTACCTTAATTTCCGTATTTGTTTTTTTCTATTGGCAGCTCTGTACGGTGTCAGTGTATCCAAAAAGAATGAAAATCATACTTTACCTTCAACAATTTGATTTACAGTCAGAGTTTTCACAGCTGCTATCCACAGATTGCAAGAGAGCTGTGACAGGAGAGAGGGAGCAATAGAGGACTTACAACAACCTCCATGCACGGGTACTGTTAAATGGGATAACAAAGAGGAACGGCGTTGTTTACTTTAAATTGATTTTCACCTACATCATACGTAAATCTGTCTTGCTATGAGCCTCCTATAATACTCTGCGCAGCAGTGCTCAGATAAATAATATAAGTTATAGAGTATAACTATCAAATAAAACATTTTTGAATTCAGTGTTGCCGAAACTAACCTTTCTTGTTCATTCTACATGCAGCTATTATGTGGTATGGTAAGTTTAGAATGCTTATAGGGCAAAAAGTGCGCTTTAAATCCCAGCTTCAGGTAAACAGCTAAATATATATTCAAATACATAAAATAATTGCAATATCTGCCAAAAACATTTATAATTGTGTGTAGCTAGTGCTCTTCGTACTTCTCCGAGATGGCATAGCCAAATTCCTGACCTTCACTGCAGTAGCAACAGAGCTTGGTGAAGAAAACCCCCCATCTTGCTGACTGATAAAGCAGCATATCATATCATCTCTGCTCCTCCCGCTATCTCCTCCTTTCAGCATGTGCACTTCAGCAGCTTGATTGTTTTCAAATGCTCTCTCCTACCCTTTACCAAGACTAAGTACTGCAGTACAGAGGTCTACTGGAAGCTCATAATACAAGTTCTGGCACTTCAGCCATTTGCATGTAAGAATGATTTTTCTTACCCATATTTTTAGTAAAATATAAAAGTCGGGGTCACGTCGGGTAAATAGATTTAAGGCATGTCAAGCCTTAAAATTGCATGCGCCCGCAAAACCGCAAAAAACGCCCATAGGCGACGATTAAAAAACGCTTTTACTGCTCATCAGTTTAGTGTTATCAGTGATTAATGGCTCTAAAACTATTGCTCTCACTCCGACGTTTGCGGCGATATGTAACATGTGCGGCACAATAGGCGCAATCGTCGTTTTCGCACGTAGGCGCACCCGACACATATATGCGTGTGTATGTGAGGGGCGGGGACTTAAATAAAATGTTTTCTTTTTTAATTTTTTTATGCTTCTTTATTTTATTTATGATTCTTTAATTTTTGTATTACTTTTTTTTTAACAAACAACTTTATTGCTATTACATGGGGGGCTAAGAAGCCCCCTATGTGATAGCCAATTTACATGACAGGTTCTCTTTATGGAGACATCAAGGGTCTCCAAGACCCCTAATGTCACCTAGGGACCCCCAGAGAAGCTGATGAAGCAGAGATCTGCTTCATCAGCTTCTGTAGCTGGAGAGTGACACTGAATGCAGGAAGTGATGTAGTATACATCACTTCCAGCATTCGGGAACTGAGAGGAGATTAAAGGGAGTTCGTATACTGAACTCCCTTTGATCTCCTGTCACAGAGCCGTGCCGGTCCCAGCCGCATTGGTCCCAGCCGCATTCAAGCTCAATCGCTTGAATGAAAAGCTCCCGGCCGGCCGTGTAATTACAACGCCCGGCCAGGAAGCTGCTCGTCGGGCCCTGGACATATATGTGTTTAACTGTGTTTTCTGGAGTTAATGGTGAGTGGAAATCACTCATCTCATAGTTCTCCTTTAATGCTATTCAATGTTATTTTGGCATTACCAATCACCTGCATAATTTACATTTGGAGCAATATGAATGTTAGCAAGCTTTGTATTGCTAGAGCTGTCAATCAAAGTCTCACCTCACCAGGCCTCTAAATGATGGAGGCTCTATGATGGAGAGCTACAGTCAAGACAAAAATCATAAGTATTCTTCTATAATATCACAATATGTCCACTTGGTATTGCTGTTTTTCAAAGCTCTCCACAAGCACTTGTAGTAAAAGCTTAACACTTTTGCACTTCTAGTTCACAGCTATGATAATGGCAGTCATTGGATCTGGATGGAACTATTCTTTGATTATATAGATGGCCAATGGCAGATTATGGAAAAGCATGATCCAATACACAGAAAGCCTTACAACCAGGCTGGGCACTTTCTGTGCCAAAATATTTGGTTGATTTACTAAAGGAACACAAACTGTTCACTTAGTAAAATGTTCAATATTCAACTAATCATTTGGTAGAAAACAAAATATATAAAAAGAGTTAGAAGACAAGTTAACCACTTGCTGTCCGGAGCAATTTCTTACTATTTGCACACACTATAAAATCTGAATTTTTGGCTAGAAAATAGCGTAAAACCCCCCAAACAATTATATATTTTCTGAAAGGCTGAGGCCCAGTAGAAAAAAAAATGCTAGTTGCAATTTTTTATGCTGCGCGGTATTTGCGCAAATGTTTATCAAATCAGTATTTTTAGAATAAGATACACTAAAATGAAATCAAGAGCACAGAAACAAAATATAATACCCATTTTTTTGGTAAAATATAAAAGATGGGGTCACATCGGGTAAAAGATATTACATGTCAAGTCTTAAAATTGTGTGCGTCTGCGAAACCGCAAAAACTCCAATACCCAAAATTGCCCATTGGTGACGCTTAAACAGTTTTTACTGCTCATCGGTTTAGTGCTAACAGTGATTGATGACCCTAGAATTATTGCTCTTACTCCGACATTTGCGACGATATGTAACATGTGTGGCGCAATTTTTCTTTTTGTGCATAGGCAAACCCAACTCATGTTTGCACTTGTATGTGCGTGTACGGGGACTTTAAGAAATGTTTTTTTAATATGTTACTTTAATTTTTTTTATATGTAATAGCAAATATGATGTGACCGGTCCTTTTTTGAGACATCAGGGGTCTTTCAGACCCCTAATGTCACCTAGGGACCCCAAATGACTGATGAAGTAGCAATCTGCCTCACAAGCTTCTTCTCCTGGCTCTAGGAGCTGGAGAATGTGCACAGTCACACCAGAAGTGATGTAATACACATAAGTTCCAGGTCCAGTGACTAAAAGCTGGCTGATCTCTTTCTGATCGATGCGGGAAGACTCACCCTGCTGGTCCCAGGCCCGCACGGGGGACAGCGGAGCACACTCCGCCACTTGGTGCAAACAATCGAGTGGCTATACAGCCACCGGATTGCTTGTATGTGAACAGCCGGCTGTTTACAATGGTACCAAGAACAGAACATGGCTCCAGTCACAGCCATGTTCTTGGTATAATCGCTTCAAGGGGCAGACGTTTAAAATCGGTCACCAGCTTGAAGTGGTTAATAGCTTTATTGTTCTGCTGAACTAAACACTCCTATCCTTGTGCAGCCAACCAATAATGGCTCCATCTAAGACTTTATCTAGATCTGCAGTTGACACTGTACATGTGATCAACTGTGACACCAACCATTTGAGGGCATGAAAGTTCAGTTTGAAGGCTGACAAAAGCACACTAGAAATTGTAAGAGCCATTATAGCCTTATATGTGGCATACACTGCACATTCGCTAATAGATAGAATGTAGGCGGAAACAGTGAACATCACAACATTGGTGTGTAATTAAGGATCTAATAACATTTATTGAACTTTTCTTACTTTAGCTTTCTTTTGGTAAAGTAAACTTTGTGTTTTGCTCAAAGTTTATGTATACAATATACTTGTTATTGCAATAAGGTATAACAGGTCAATTTTGTTCTAAGTGACAGACTTATTGTGACTTTTTCCTTTTTTAGTATTTGTATTAGTTGTTTTAAGTTATTTTCCACTTCCCTGGCTGAGTGAAAGCTGCTGTTTGCCCTTGATGAAATAAAGACTTTTATTTCTCAGCTGTTAAGCTGTCTATCCATCTGTTTCTTTGAATGTACTTCTTTTAAATTATGTTTGTTTTTGCATTATTTTCTGCCGCCATAGCAGAGAAAACATTCTTAGTGGTGTGGTAATAAAAAATGAATACAAATTCAGTGACAGGTTTGTTGCTAAACAAAGGTATGTCACTTATGTGGCTTTACGTATCAACAAAGCCATGCGACCACCATATCATCAATGCTACTGATATGGTGATGAACGCCTCTGTTGATGAACAAATCCATTCAGCTCAGCGCTGATGATGAATGCCTTTGTTTATTAACAAACTCATATAATTATGTCAGTGCTGACATGGTCATCAATAGCTTTGTCAGAAAAGTAACTTAAAGTTAAGAGTTAGTCTTAAAGTAAGGGTTCAAGCTAAAGTTAGGGTTTGTGTTAAAATTAGGGTTAGGGCTAGGATTAGTGGCAAGGTTAGGGTTATTATTAGGGTTAGCATTAACGTTAAAGTAAGCTTTAGGGTAGGGTTTGCATTAAGCATAGCTTTTTCTATCTTTATTTTTTTAAGAATTTTTTTTCAAGCAAATTCTTAAAAAATTCAAGCAGAATGGGCAAATCCGAGGTCAATTTAAATGACTTTTGGCAACGTTAATACAGACAGGTCCTCTTTCAAGCACATGCAGTAATATAAACTGAATGTCCCAACTGAAGAGGTAATTCAGCCATTTACCAGAAATTTTCGTTTCTGTTTCCAGTGACTTCCCTGTGCATTGGTGGCCACGTGAGCTTCAGTGACGACCTGTATTAGCTCCCATTCCTCTGGTGTTGGTTCAGGCTTCTGTACCAGTGACTTCTGTATTTCATCTTTGCGTCTCTTTTCTCTGTTTTCTTCTATGAGTTTTCTTTTTGCCAAACGCTTGCCGTCGTCCAAAACCACTTTAAGGAATGAATCCGCATTCATAAGTTTTGTTTCACACGTCTCAATGATTATACACATATACACAAGTTGCAAACATTTAGCTAGGCCAAGTGCAATAAGATATGTTTTTTAATGGATCACCGCCACCTGGCTAATTTTACTACTGTACTTTGGCAGTCTGGTCTTGTGACTGTTTACCACAAACCACCTTGAGTGCAGCTAGGCAAGACTTTATTCCAGCACACAGAAAGATATACTAAAGGAATATTACATCAAGACTAGTAAATGGCTACAGTCTTTTCGATTATTTCAGCCAGTAATAAACAGAGAGAATAACACCTTGATCGTTGCAAAACATAATATGCTCTCTCTCTCTCTATATATATATATATATAGCCATGATCATATCTTACAGGATGTGGGTAGTCAGCTGATTAAGGGGCTGTTGGAGCCCTGCCTTCATTGGTCTACACTCAACACAACTGAAGCAGCCCCCTGCCTGCTACTGATAGAACCGTACAAGCAACAGCCCTACAGCATGCACATGTTCTTGGCTGTTGGATGTTTTGCTGAGAGTAGTGCAAAAGATTTCCTTAGGTTTTATTCATATGCTTTTCAGTGTACTCTTAACAACCAAGCACTCACGCACATTCTAGGACTGCTAATCTGACAATTTACAAGTAGCAGGCAGCTGGACTTCTCTGAATGCACTGTACTCGGCCTGAAGCAGGTTTGGGCTGAATGGCTTTTTCAATGGCCATCTATTTGTACTCAATGTGGCCTACCTATACATACCCACCTATGTGGCCACTTGCTCCTGTTGAAACTGTCTTTACCCTCTTTGCAAAAGAGGGAAAGTCATCTCTGACCTCCAGGATTTGGCGATCCAGTGCTGTCCACCTGGCTTGCTAGCTATTAAAATTATTCTACTGAAGAGTCTATCCCTGATTTAAGGGAGCAGAGAAGTACAAAATAAAACTAAATTTGAGAGAAAGATGCCTACCCAAAACCACAGACTCCAATGCTAGCGTCTACCAGGTGAAATTCACTAGTTTTACTTAATCATAACGTACTCAATGATTTAACTCATTCCAGAACACTAAACAACTTACAAAGCACAACCCAGGTGGTCACAGTGTGTATTGTGGTATGGGAAATGGATGTGTGGCCTCCATTTTTTTTTTTTAATGCTTGGACTATTTTCAACTGCACTATAACACCCAATACGATGACCATAACGGAATGTGTTGAACATTACAAAATAAGTGAACAGACAATAGTTTACCCTTACTGTACTTTACTAATTTCTTTTTAGAAACTTAGAATTGCCAATTAGCATTTCACAACATTGTGTTTTGTTTATAAGTGCAGAAATCCAACATACACCAGATCTTTAGTGTGTAAAAGCAGAGGCTCAGCTCCATTTAGTAACTAACATGAATACTTTTGCCTCTTTTTGCCATAAGCACCAAACAAAAAATTGTTACAATTGTTTATTTTGATTTACAGTTTGTGCTGTATTTAATTATCTTATGTTTACATAAAAAATACTGATACTGCAGTCATATCTATTTACTTAAAATTGGTTTGTTTTTGGGCATTCATCAAACTGTGTTCTAGGTGATTATGTGGAACAAACTAACAAACAACTCTCTCAGCTACTTACAATCTGTTGCCATGCCAACAGCGATGCACTTTTTGAAGCGACATTCTTGGCACTGGTTCCTTGTTACTTTGTCTATCACGCATTTTCCTTCATATTTACAGGAATAGCTTGGGTGAAGATTTTTTTGTATAGTTCTCCTGAAAAAGCCCTAAAAATGGCAAAATACATTGTTACCATTTGCTGACTACAAAAAAAAGGAAAAACAACATTCTAAACTAGTATTGCCTGCCAGTATAGCAGTGTAAGCACTGCACACAGAACAAACACTTTTTCAGTTATTTTTCAGCTTAGAGATGAGATTGCTTCACGAGTCTTAGCCTGAGGTAAAGAAGACTCCTAACCCAAATGTTCAATACATTGGGCTTCTGCTTACACTAAAGGCACATGAAATGGTCATACAACACTTTATTCATGTCATTTCCCCAGTACAGATGCAGTTTCCTTCATTATGCAAATTAAATTTTAAAGCCCATTTCGACCTTTGCGGGTGTATTTAAAAAGAAAAATATGCCAGCAACGTACACGGAGTAAGCATGAAGCAGGCATATGCAGTTGCTGTAAATGAACACCGCAACTTAAGTTTTTTGTTAGCTTTCCTTTTCATATCCTGAAGGAAATGGTTGGCTCTGTGTAAATTACAACTGAGTTCTCTGTGAAATCGCCACCCCCCATTCATTAGTATTCATAGCGGCAACCCCCTGGACAGTGTATTGTGTGTAAAGGCAGAGCTAGTGTTTAGTGATCGTGTTACGCAGAATCACAGGGAGGGGGCCTGCTTTACAATCCGACCCGGGTGTCAGACTGAATTTCCTGTGGAAAAAATGTTGAATTTGAAGGATTCAGGCCTAAAAAAACATTCATAAAAAAGTGAAGCCTGCAATGTGCGTCATGAAAATGTACACACATATACATCATCACTGTAAATAAATGGTAATCACTTACAAAGGTGGAAACTGACTTTAAGCAACATTTTTTTAATTTATGTTGGTGAATAGCCCTGCCCCCTTTACCTGCTATGTCACAGCTGGTGCAGGAACCTGCATTGCCACTTCACCTATAATTCATACATAAGTTATATAGGGAAAGGTGATATTCTGACTCAGTGAGATATTTTGCCATAGTGGCAAGAGGTGTGTGCTGCTATAGTCTCACAAGTTTTGTCAATACATTTCTACCGTATAAAGAAAGTATGCTTTTGCTAGTATGGTATTAAAGTGTATGTACAGTCAAAGTTAAACATCTGAATTTGAAATGTCTGCATCTTTAAGAAACATAGCACTATGTCCCATTTCCTTATCATTCTCTCTTTTCATACCTGGTGATTCTGCCAGTAGAATTGCTTATGGGCTGTCAATTGAGAAAGAGTGACAATGTTGTAAGGGTCCTTTGAAATTATCCACAATGTTGTCACCCTTTTCTCTGTGCTGCATAAGACTGGAGTGCTCTGTTGTGACACAGACTCCCAGAGGCTCGGTTGTCACTAAGAGTTAATCTCTTTTACAGCTGCCACTTCACAAGCCCCAAAGCTCCTCCTTGACATAGAAAGGTATATTTTGAAAGTGAAGCTGGTAAGTGAAGTGTGGGACACTGGCATAAATGCACCAGAATTGACGTACCCAGTCCTGCTTCTGCCTACCCAGCATTTTGAGAAAGTGGTGGTAGGGCTTTAGCCAAATTTTTTGGACAGAAGAGACTCTAGTGCTTAAATCTAGACCTGTAATTTCGGAAAAGGTTCTAGTTATTAGGAAGACCATTCCAACTCAATAAACTCTGGTGTTTTGGGGGGCAAAAAACAACACCATGTCTGACTAATGAAACAACAGGCTGTGTGAAATCTATAAAAGGTGCACTAGGCTCATAAACCTTGTGGTCCTTTCATATCTATATCAATGGGCTATTTATGAGACTGTTCAACAGGACTACAGATCATTTTATACAATACAAAGCAAAGCACTTAGCTGAGTAAGAAACATTCTTCTAATCCTCCTTTGTAGTCTATGTTTGTAGCATGCAGTCCATCAGCACCCTCCCCTGAAGCTCATGCAATACCTCAACTGGGTTGGTGTTTGAAATGAACAATGGTTTCTCTTAAAGGGTTTAGATTTCATTGTTGTGCAAAATATTCCCTTGGTGTTAGCAGTATTCTTTTTTACAATAAAATAAACATCTGGGGGGATCTGTTCACCCTTGGAATACAGATCTCCGCAGAGTCTATTGGTAGTACACTGATTTTAGTCTACGTTGAATCATCATTCCGCTGAGAAAATATCGGCACAACACATATTGGCAATGATAAAGAAACAGAAATAGATACACTATTCTTAGCAACCAAGTAGACAATTATAATAGTAGAGTTATAATCCTTGTCAAGTTTTTATTTGTGTCAGGCTCCACTAGGAATGTTTTTCCTCACATCCAGAGCTGTGATCAGACAGTAAGTGAGGTAAATCTCTGCAGTGTTTACACAGACAAAATTAAAGACCTGATAGAGGTTCTAAACCTTACCTACTCTACACAACAGTGTGATTTTATTGTTTTTCAGTGTCCTTTTGGAGAGATTATACTTACTTCAGGTCTCAGTGACTACACATTGCTCACTTCCCATCTTAATTACTACGCAAGAAGTGAAATATCCACTACAGGGGCACATAGATGAAAACCCCACAGAGACTGTAACCCTTCCTCACATTCAAAACTGAAAAACATGCATCCAACTATAATCGTCTTATGACCGTCTATAATTTTTAACAGCCTTAGTACAGTCCTGATGGAAACTGTTATATGAAGCCCAATACTGTGCCAGCCCCAGCTTAAAAATAGTAAAGATTCTCACTATCTTCTTAATCCGTGGTCAACTCAAAATGATGGATTTAGCCCCACTGACGATGCTCCCCAGGACAAATAAAGAGTAAATCTACATCAACAGCCCATATTTCTCATATATGTGGAATATCTCCAATAAGTTAGAATCTGAGCAGGTTTGATTCTGATGGGGATGTGCACCAGCCAAAAATTTGCTTTGTTTCTTTTCGCCAAACAAATAACTTTGTTTCGTCATATTCGTTACGTTAGAATGATTCGTTTTTGGAATGATATTTTATTTGTTACTTGCATATCGACTATTTACCTTGCATCCTTCACAGGTGATGCATCTATAGTGATACCCTGTAGCCTTGTCTCCACACACCACGCACAGTTCATCTTTATCTAAATAACTGGGTATGTACCCTATAAAAAGAAAAGATAATATTCATTAACTCAACTACGTAGGGCCAGAAAGTCTTGAAACATAACACACATCAAACATTTTGCCATAAACAAAGTCTTAAATTATGCAAGAAACCTGCGATATTGACATATATGGTTTGTAGAAGCCTATGTCCCCATTATGTTCATGTGCATGCATTAGGGATTGGGTTCTAAATTTTAAGAACAAGTTTCAATTACAACAATTAAAAACAGATTCTTACATACAATAAGTTTTTTTTTTTACTAGTGTGACGCAATATATACTGAACCTGTGGTCACTTCAAACATCATGTGTTAAGGAAAAGGTTCAACCAAAGTAACCACTGATTTTGCCTCAGGCTCCATATTAGTAAATTGCCCCCATTGCTTTTTTTTAAAGTTCCTGTCCAGGCAAAACTGGGTTGAGTAAATGTCAGGGACAAGACACCATCCACCAACATGCACCTATAGCCAAAACATCATATTTGAATAGACTGACCTTTATTATCATAAGACATGTGCGGTGATTTAAAACATCATAAAACATTTACAGTTTAGTGCAGAGCAGGTCAGCTTCATGAGGCCAATAAAATGTCAGTTCCGACTAGTTGGTAAGAGTTACTGTGCATTAATCTCTGCCCTGTTACATAAAGGACTAAGACTTAGCTTATGCACACTCACAATGTATATTGTCTCTAGAATACCCCCTCTTACCTTTTTTGGTTCTCTGATCTGAAGAAATCAGAACATTTGTTCACCCCCACCCCCTTTCATTCCTGTTATGGTGGCAGCAATACACATACTACACAGGCCACATTATCTGGAGCAGAGAGATGCTGTAAGAAAAGATCCTCCACTGATCATTAAATGCTAAATGGAGGGTTTAGCATACAATGAGAGCTTCTTGACCTCAAATTATTGCACAAGTTAAAGAATATGATTAGACCTACATTTACAGCTTTTTGATTCCTATGGTACAGGCATGAGCTGTGTTATTTACATTTTAAAATCCATTTTCTGTTTTCCATTCTTCCTTTCACAAAGGCTCCTATATTTTCTGACAACAAATGTATAGGAGCTGCTCAAGGTTCGAGCTATATTGTATTACCTAACAATTGGCAGATATTTCATTACTTGTGAAATAAAGCAAGGGCATGCCATGTCTGAGAGGCATTGTCCAGAGATGAATGCTGCAAGAACTCTGACACACCACAAATTACATGATTTTTTGACCACTAGGTGCCAGTAAGGCAAAGAAACAAAGCAACACATACATGCTGAATTAATACTTTAAAGGAAAAATGTGGAAAGTGCAGTATCTGACATCAACTGCTCATTTTTCACTCTCTGTAAACAGAATTCTAATTGCTATGGCTTACTGCACTTTTGTATAGTATTGTTGAAGTGCCATAGTGTTGATCGGTAAACATCTACGAGTCCTATGTAAAAGAAACACTTCATTTTTTACGTTTTCTTAATTTCACTTCCTGGTATTTCCAGACACTGGTTATGTAGACAGTGCCTCACAGGTACCCCCTGGGAAGGCTACATCACCTGTTCCTTCCAGGGAGATCTTGTTTCTAAATTGCGAGATTTTGCAAAATCTCGCAAGATCTCAGGGGAAAAAAAATACTTTTTTTTTTT